AATTAAAGGAATCACAATTTAACTTAATTGTTATCGTAATTAAGATGATGCTGATAATGATAATGATAATAATGATGATCAAGCAAAGTAACTATTCAAGAGATGAGAAAAAATTAGCTTTGATTGTTACTGTTGCTGATGATGATGATAATTTAAAGGAATGACAATTTAGAATAGATTTGCAAGAATCATTTGTATTCAGCTTGAGTGATGATGAGAATCATGAAAATTGTAAGTTTAAGTGTTTAAATTGTTAAGAATCAGCGCGTTTGCCATTCAATCAGCAAGTAGATGAACCAAATTAACAGAAAAATTAACCGACCAATCAGTTTGATAATTGGTTCATTGAGCCGAGGATAACCCATGAAAAGTGTATTGTACTTGATTAGTTAACTGATTACCCTTTCGATATGAGGTAACCACCAATTATTGAGAATTCAGATTAAAATGATGAAACAAAACGATCGCCATGATGATGAAGACAAAGAGATGCAGAGAAAAAACAATTCTCTCATTTTAATCATCTTCATCTTCTTCTGGTTTTCTTCCAATTCATCTTCCATTGTAAACCTTGTCTCTTCCAATGGAAAACACTGACAATAAAACAGCATCAACAGCAAAAGAAACATCAGCAATCAGTCCAATTTATTTTCCTCTTGATTTCTTTAATCATGATGATGATGATGGTTTTTTCTTCTTCTTCTTCTCTGCCATGGTTAACATTTTCTTGATTCCTTTTCCTTTTCATTTTCACTGTTTCTTTGTTTCTCTTCAACTAATCAACCAGCAAACGATAAAAAAAATTAACTAAACTGTAAGTTGATTCATCATTTTGTTTCCTAGTGATTTTCAGGCTCTAACTTTAATCTCCTCCTTTGTCTTGATTGTTGGTTGAGGTGCAATTGCTTTGAATTACATCTTCCTCATCTTGTTAACCATCGGATAACTTGTTTATCCAACCATATTGACAACCATTTAACACGAAATTTGCTTGTTGTTGTTTTTTGTTGGTGTTTTCCATCTTGTGTTTACATTATAATTGGTCAACTTTTTCCTTCTTTTCTCTTCTAGATTGAGTGTCCAGTCCAAGGCGATATAATTTCATTATCTCGATCATATGATGATTATTGTGTTCATTCAACTTTAATGGTAATCCAATCCAATTCAAGTAATTCTCCAATTCTTTTCAGCTCCTCCTTTTGGTTTGGCCTTTTTCCTACTAGAAACTTTTACTTACTCTCTTCCTTTTTCTCTTTCTCTTTCTCTTCATCAACAATCCCGTGATTGTAATCAAGAAAATTGAACAAATTAACTAGTTAACCCTGAACTTGTCACCAGGTTTGTCTTAATTAATCGTAATCAGCTGAATTCAAGGCTATATTATTAACCATATAACAGATCTTTCAATCTCTGTTGTGAATGTTGACATATCAACCGTGTTGATCGTGAGAAAATTAAAAAAAAGCTACACGTTGATTAAGAAACAAAATTTAGAGTAAAAAGTGAAACCATTTAAAAAGGTAGATCAGTAGTAGCAATCAAAACAGATTATTACACCTTAAACAACGAGTTGTATCACTTAGAGCACAAGAAGAGCAAAAATTTAGCATATAAGAGGCAATAGAAAAAAATGATTGTTAACTGATTATGACCGTCACACGGTTGACAAAGCGTAACAATCATCATGGAAAGAGGATTGAGAGAGAGAATATTAGCTTTCGATTTCAGGTTAACAGTGAAATAATCACGACAATTATGACAATCAACTAATCAGCGACATTAATAAAGCAAAAACAATGATTCATCCTAATCATAAATTGATTGACCTAAAATCGTATAAAAAAAACGAGAGTCAATCAACATCGTTAAAGTATAACTGGAAAGATACTCAAAAGATTCCGTAATTAGTGACAATCGGAATTAATGACAAGAAATTGTCAACAAATGAATGAAAACAATAAGACAATTAAATTAAGATGAAAATGAAAAGACAATTAAACAAAAAATATAAACAAAAGGGTAAAGAGGGGAAAAAGTAATCAAAGGGGAGAACATAAAAAGGAGCGAAATTCAAAAGTCATTAGTAATTAATCAAAGTGGAAAAAAGTAAAAAATTGTCATAATTAAAATTACATTAGAATTAATATGATACGTTGATTACTATGATTAAATGGTTAACATAAAAGTAAATCAAGTTAATTACAGAAAATTACATCAACAAGGTAAATTGTTAATTCGTTAAGGTCTTGAACATAACAATAACAATTAAAAGTAATCATCAACCTAATCATTTTGAATGGAAGAAGAAAAAATTATAATTTAACAAAGAACAATCAAAAACAATTAACTTTAATTATTACCATTGCCATTATCATGATTACGATAATGATTTGATTTTCCAAAATGGTTTAATGGTTTGAGATGTTAATAGTTGATTAACTAATCAATCGAAGTGAAAGAAAAATCAAGAGAAAAAAAAATCGAAAGAAAATTTTTTTTTTCCAATGTTCGTGATTTAGCTTAACAACATATTAACTGAATTAAAATTAAGAATTAAAATTAGATATAACCTTTCATACTACTAATAATAATATAAACAACAATCAAGGTTTCACAATCGTGCAATGTAATAATCATAATCATAATCATAATCATAATAAACTTTAATATTTACCTTTGGTTTTCATAAATTGTTACCAATCAACATATGATGATGAAAATGATTTAACTATTTTAGTTTGTTTTTTTCTTGCTAACAAACAATCAGCCAACAATTTAACAAACAATTTATATTTACAAAGGTAAATTATGTTAATCATATTGAAGTCTATGGGAAATCAGGTATAGTTACCTGGAAATAAACAACAGGTAACATACAAAAAAGTAATACAATCAAACAATTAACATCGGTTACTATTAACAATATAATTGTTATTGGTAATATTGATTGAGTTTTGTGATCAAGTAAACAAACAATCAACAATAATAAACTGATTGTTATGATAAAAAATATATAAGTTAATGCAATTATTATTAATGAACATTAAATTGTTACTCTATTGGTTGTGAATATGAAATAGATATACAATTAATTTAGTTAATCATATTTTGACCATGAAATTATATTAACTGTCCTCCCATCAATATGCATCTTTTTCTGTATAATTATTGATTGTTAATTATCTGTATTATTTAAATTGTTTTCCAGCAAGTTATGAAAATAAATAGGAAAAAATTATCTCAACAATCAACATAATCTGAATACAAATTCCCATAGACTTGATTGTTGATATATTTATATCAATTTCCTTTAACTATTTACTTTATGATGTATAAATGATTATAATAATGATTAAGTTGATTACTATATTGCTCAGGTAAATGATTAAGCATGAAAGTTAAGAGTAATCAAGAAAAAAAAAAGTAATTGTTCCGACCTGATAGGCAACAATGTTAATTACATGTAATAAAAGTCAATCGCCTTAAAATCATTGATAATGATTAAGTTGTAGAAACTTTTTCTTACTTTGAAATTGCTCCTAATCATAATTAACGATAATCAACAAATAGCAACAGGTAACCAAGTCTAATTGTCCGATTGGCTGGTAAAGGTCACTTTTCAAAGGTCCATTTGCTTTTATGAGACTCTCATTGTTTTTGACCTTTACGATTCTTGTAAAGGTTATAAAAGTACCAAAAATGATTAATTTCAATCATAAATATTTAATTACTTTAGTTTTTATCATTTGTAAAATGAATGAAAATAATGATTGATTGATTGATTGATCATCATCAGCGTTGATGATGAAGTTACTCTCATATTTCCGGTACAAATGAAAACTAAAAACAACAACAATCACATTGGATTAACATTAATATTCAATTGTTGATTTGTGTTGATTTTCAAGATGGCGGAAATGTCGATGATCCATTGTTAGTATTTCTACTCGATGATGATGATAATTTACCAATTGCAATTGATAATCATCTTTATCATCATCATCATCTCTTAACTATAGATTTAGTCACGCCAATGATTTACCAGGTAATCAACAATATATTCAAGTTGATTGTTTACCTGCAATTTGCTGGCGACTCTACAATTGGCCTTAACAATTGGGCTTGTTCATCTAATCATCTAGGATGATGATCATATTTTTGGGCTTCAATTTTCACAAGAGCAACAAATTTTATCATCATAATCATCTCTCTCTATCATCATCATCATCCTAATAATAATGGACGATATAAAATGATAATAATAATAGATAATCATCCAAATAATGATAAATATAATTCTGATGATAGACTTTTGTTTTGTTCATCAAAACCTGAAACAATTAACGTTTTGCTTCATCTGTGATAGTTTCTGATTATAAAATCAAGTAATTAGTCTCACAATCAGTAAATTGTGGTTCCAATCATCATAATAAATTACAATAATCAGAGGATAATAATAACATCTAAGTTCAATTTCCGCTTTTGTTTTTTCTCGCTCTTCAATTAAATCAATCAAAGTTAATCTTGTTTCATAACAAACTTCCGGTGAATACAAAGATTATGATGAAGATGAAGATGAAAATGAGGATGAAGATGAAGATCAAGTTGTTAAGATGATAACTTGTTTGACCGGCCTGAGAAAAAGTGAACTGACCAAAATTAGAACTCGATATTCAAGTGCAATAACTTTTTCTGTGTTAATCATAATAATCAATTTAAATTGTAACCGGAAATCCAGTTATATGATTAATTATCAATTGATAAAACTGGTCAATCGTCCAATTGGTCAGTAATAACAAGAGTAGTAATAATAATAGCCTTTAATTAGTTTAAGAACAAGTTTTCATCTTCTTGATTGTTTGTTAATTGTAAAGGAAAAAAAAATGAAATCAAGTTGAATGTAATTGCAACCTTATCATTTTGGTATTTAGGTTAATTGGATTAAGGTGTGATCAGTTAGTTAGATTATAATTAGTATCAGTGAACAATTAAGCTCTTACCTCAGATTGATTAGTTAATTTGAATCTTCTGATCTCATTGTCACGGCTTCGGCCAAATTTACATCCATGGGTGTACATTGAATAAGAGCAACCAAATGAATAACAAGCTCCCGATCGAGTTGAATCCAGGCCTTGACAAGCACAGTTCCGGTTCTTGTTCAGGTTACACTTCCGTTCCGTTGGGTTACCATAGTTGGTCAGTTTATGGACAACAGTGTCGTAAAGACGAGATGACCAGGAAGAGTCGACACCTTCCCAAACAATCAGAGCAACAATTATAAATCGACCTGGACATAAATGGCCTAACCTTTCACGAACCAAGACACACAATTGTTCAGCTGATGATCGTCGGACTATAATCATCTTTGCAATCGGACATCCCTCACGAGATTGACCTTCACGTGGACATTTAATTAACCTTTCAAATCTAATTGATTCTAAACTTAATCCAGATCTAATTGTGCATAAGAAAAAAAGCAAATTAAACAATAAATTAAACAACAATAACAATTAAATTGTGCATTTTAATTTTAATAAGGTTCATTTAACGGGATAACATTAAAAATAAATTATCCTAAAATCATTAATCTGAATCAATAAGATTAAAATTGCATCAACCATTAATCAACTAATATATATACAATCAGTTAATTGCAATTCACTAATTATATACAGTTAACGGGCTTACCTTTGTGATAAATTAATTGCAATCTCCTTAAGACTTGATCCGTAACCTAAATGACTATAAACCGGTGCTAAATGATCAATCAATTGTTATTTCAACAATTAACATTATTAAACATCATTATAATTAAAATTAACATTCAAAAATCATATATATAGTTGAATAATTGTAATAATCATTATGATTAAAACATAAATTGTTAATCATGATTGAAAAAAAAAATCACCAAAAAGTAAGAAAAAAAAATGAGAAATGAAAAAAAATATATAATCATGATTAGTATTGGAGTTTGATTGTTTTCAATTACAATTTAAAGTTGATGTATTTTTTACCTTGTTTATGGTTAATTGTGAAACAGTCAATTATGATTATCATCATTATCATTAGTGAGCATTTAATTGTAATAATTACTTTTCATGCAAACCTTTAATTGTAAATGCATTGACATTAAATTAAAAAACATCAGAGTCTTTGATCATCATCATTAATGATTAACATCATTTACTTGCTGTTGGTAAAAAAAAAAGATAATTATTATACTGTTAATAACAATTAGATGCAATTAACATGCATAGTATATGCAGTAAGAGTAAATTAAGTTGATTAAGAGAAGCAAAATAATAATAATCAATTGAACAATTAGTTAAATTGTCAGCAAAATTAAGGGAAAACATAAACAACAAAGCAAATAAATTATCAAACATTTGGGAGCAAATTATTTATTAGGATAACAAGCAAACTTTTTAATTGTCATGATTAACATTCAATGATAATCACAATCAGGATGATGATCAAGTTGATGATGAGGATGAGGAAAATATTATCATCCTCTTTTCTCAAATGACAAGCTTTTCATCATCATTTAGATTCAATTAATTATCACCTAAAATGGCCTCAGGGTAAATACATAAGATCTGGATTGAGATTAACTTTGAATATGATTAATAATTAATTTCATTATTATCATTAATGATTATCATTATTATTATGATTACATTGGTAAATGTCAATTACCCTGAGTTAATCAATTTTACCCGGCGGGTGTTTAATTTTTTTACAATCTCACAAATTGTTGTGTATGTTTAATATTGACAATAATCAAGTGGAAAAACAAAACTTTGTTAATCAACAACAATCAACAGAAATTAAAATATTTCTCAGCCAAAAAATCACATTAAAGGATCGAGATTGAGAAAAGTAATTAATTGTTGAACACTGAACAACAATCAACCAAACAACAATTTGGTTACATGGTTACAGAGTAATGATAATATAGTAATTTAATCAAATCAAATTTAATTTTCATCTCTCTCTCTTTCTAGATTTAATCATCATTAATAAATTCACCTTGATCATTGTAATTTATATTCCAACTAAAACCAAGGTTGATAATAAAAAATTAATAATAAAATGTTATTAATGAGTAATGATGATCAGTGAGAAAGAGAGAAAGAGCCAAGAAAATCAGTGTCTTTTTCTCTGTCTTTTTTCATCCTCATCCTCCATCCTCCCACTTTCCATCATCTCTGTCTATTTTATCATCTTCTCTGTCTTTCTTTTTTCTACTTCATCTTCTCATCCAAAAAAAACTAACATCTAATGTGTATCAAAGTGAAAGTAACCAAAAACTTTTCCTCTCGATTTTTCATCATTTAGAATCATTATCGATCCTCGTCCTCATCCTCATCCTTTTATCATCCTTATTCAGTTGTAAACTTTAACATGATCCTCATCATCAGTATCCAATTATTCATCATCATTGATAATATTTGATTCAATTTAATATTCACCTGACTAACTTTTAACAACAATGATCAAAATTGATAAATTGATCACTGATTGTAAATTGTTATTATTTGATTGAATGATGCAGCGTAATTGAATTTGCTTTAATCATCATCATCATCAAAACAATATAATGAAGATGAAGATGAAGATGAAGATGATAATATAAGGACATTCGCCCTTGAAGAAGGTTGAAAACTTTTCCGAGTGCAATAGCATTCGTTAAATGACCTTGGTAAACAAGGTAGAAAATTGAATTGCTCAGATTGTTAATTGCGTGATTTAAATTGATTGAGTTTGTTGACCAACGGATCAAAAGCCTAATAAACACAATTGATTCAAACTTTAATTAGTTTCAAGTTAATAAATACACCAATCGATTTTAATACAATTTATCAATTTATCAAAATGTGAACAGAGAATTAGATTCAATTGGTAACAATTTGCTTAACTAATACAATCAAGATAATCAACATGATGGAAAAACACAGGAAACACGATTAAAAGGATTATCGAATTTAATCTTATTCTTAAATTGCGATTTTCGAATTGCAATTTTAATCTTTTCTTCTTCTTTTCTAACTTGTATTCTTTTCATTTTCTCACTTCATCTTTTTCCAATATTATCATTATTCATTTTATCTTCTTTCTTTTTCATCCTTATCTTCTTTCTCTCTCTCTCTCATCGTTATTTATTATTCGAGTGTAGGTCAAACAATTTGAGGACAAAAGCGTTTTCCAGGTAAATTTAAATTTTCTCAAACTTTTTTCTCTTCTTTTTTTCTTCCAACGGTAAATACTCATAGAGAAAAGTCTTTGTCCTTTTCATTTGATCTACTTTTCATCCTCATCATCACTTCATGTGAGAAAGTATATAGATTACTGATTAAGCGTAAATTTCTCATTGAAAAGTTTTCTTTCTCTTTCCAGGTAGTCCAATAGTTCACCTGCAATAATATCATATTCGTATGTTGATATATTAGTGTAATTGTAACATTGAAAGTGTAATGAGAGCAAAGGAAAAAAAGTAAACAAAAGTCCCTCCTTTGAATGGAAGGAGGAGATGATGATGATGATGGAAGAGGGAAAAAGAGGTAAGTGTAAAAATCAAGGACAGAAAATACCTTGATCATGGTTATGATGATGAGCAATGAAAAAAGAAAAAGAAACTGAGGAAATCCCTTTGCTATGCTCATGTTTATCATCATCATGAAAAGAAGGAAAAAAGAGAAGAAAAAGAAAAGAAAAGGGAAGAGAGAGAGAGAAAAGAGATAAGGTAGGAAGAGAGAGATGATGAAAGAGTATTTCCCTGTCTTGTCTGGTGTAAACTCTCCTTGCGTCTGTCTTAAGGAGAGAGAGAAAGAGCAAGGATAAGAAAGAAAATGATGATAATGATGAAAGGAAAATGATGAAGAGGAGTAACAACAAGTTGACCATATTTTTACTCACTCACTTGATTCATTCATTCATTCATTCATTGGTTATAGAAGAGTAAGTTAGTGTAGTAGTAGTTTTTTTTTCATTCATAGAAAAAAAGTGTGAGTAGAATGTGAGAAAAAGAAAGTAGAGTAAAAGGATGAGTAAAGTTGGTGAAAGTTTTTTTTTCTTTTGCGGTCCAGAGAAGGAGGAGAAGAGGAGAGTGAATGGAGAAGAGAGAGAGGAGAAGGTAAGGGGAGAATGTGAGACAAGTGAATAGAGAGAAGAAAAAATGATGAGAAGGAAGAAGATGAGGGAACTTAGAGAGAGAGAGAGAGAAAGTAGGTGAGGGAAGAGAAGATGAAAAAACAGGGAAGTAGGAAGAAGAAGCAAAAGGAATGAGGGAAACCCTCTTGACTCGGTGAGGGGCGATGGACGTGAACCTTATTCATCCTTCAACAGTAGTCACAATTTGTGTTTACCTTTTCAAAGATAATCATTTAATTGTGTCAATGTCAACACAATTAAACGTATTTAATATACATAAATGGATATTTTTAATGGTTGACAGAATAACGATCCATTTTTTTCAGGGTGAAGGTCAATTCAGGTCAAGGACAATACAAATTGTGGTTTAACCGTTTCAACTGTTTATCCGAAAGCATAACAATTAGATGGAGATGATTTCGTTTCTCTCAAAGGTGATGATCTTGCAAACAAACTTTGATGATTGCAAATGAAAAATAAAGATGCATTTCAATTGTTTTAAACTTTTTTATAATATTGATATTTATTTTGTCATTTAACCTTTGACATGTCATGATAAAAAGACTTTAATATTTACTAGTAAGAAAATTGATTTGTTGATTCTTTCGAAAGCGAAAGAAAGGAGATAAAGATTAAGATTAAGAGAGAGAGAGAGAGAGAGAGAGAGAGAGAGAGAGAGAGAGAGAAAGTAGGTGAGGGAAGAGAAGATGAAAAAACAGGGAAGTAGGAAGAAGAAGCAAAAGGAATGAGGGAAACCCTCTTGACTCGGTGAGGGGCGATGGACGTGAACCTTATTCATCCTTCAACAGTAGTCACAATTTGTGTTTACCTTTTCAAAGATAATCATTTAATTGTGTCAATGTCAACACAATTAAACGTATTTAATATACATAAATGGATATTTTTAATGGTTGGCAGAGTAACGATCCATTTTTTTCAGGGTGAAGGTCAATTCAGGTCAAGGACAATACAAATTGTGGTTTAACCGTTTCAACTGTTTATCCGAAAGCATAACAATTAGATGGAGATGATTTCGTTTCTCTCAAAGGTGATGATCTTGCAAACAAACTTTGATGATTGCAAATGAAAAATAAAGATGCATTTCAATTGTTTTAAACTTTTTTATAATATTGATATTTATTTTGTCATTTAACCTTTGACATGTCATGATAAAAAGACTTTAATATTTACTAGTAAGAAAATTGATTTGTTGATTCTTTCGAAAGCGAAAGAAAGGAGATAAAGATTAAGATTAAGAGAGAGAGAGAGAGAGAGAGGAGAGAAGGGGAAGAGCTTTGGGATGGTGCAGACACTTTGTTTGTTTGTTGCATAAATCCGGAAGATCATCATCCGCATTCATCCACCATCATCAGCATGAATGGTGAAAAATTTTGATGTGGTGTTTGTGTGTGTGTTTACGTGTGTGTGTTCACAGGTAGATGATGAAATCATCATTAAGGTGGCAGATATAATATATTTATATATTTATATAGAAAAATTTGTTTCTCATTTATCAATGTGTAAGGGATGCAGTTGTTAACGATATCAAGGTAGATGGACTGCGAGAGTACTCACGTTCACCTTTCTCTTCGTCACCGCAATCCAATGATTCACAATTTAAGTCCTGATGATGACGATGATCTGTTTCCATGATGTGGTGATGGTGATGATGATGATTATTAGGTATTATATCGGTTCCATAAGGATTGTTTTGTTTCATCATCATATTATGATCATTATTAAACCAACCGGGAAGAAGTAGAGTTGACATAGGTGGTAGGCCAGTATGATTTGTGGGTGAACTTAAATAATGTTGAACTGATTGAGATTCATATGAATTTAGGTCCATTAAAAGACCACCGAAGGCGGTTGATGAAATGTCATCACTTATACTTAAATCATCACCACCAACAACATAACCGTTACGTTGATGTTGTTGTTGTTGTTGTTGTTGCTGTTGTTGTTGTTGTTGAGCATCGGATGTTGTCCATGTCATATGGACATAGGAAGGTGGAGTATTATCAGAGTTCGTTGTTGTTGTAGGTGGTGTTGGTTGAACACGATCAGGTAAAGCGCCAGCGCTGTTACCTTGGTCCATATATGAATTATTATTATTTGGTCCTTGGTGATTGATTGGGCTCACATAATTTGTTGCAACAAAACTCATGGACACTGATAATTGTTGTTGTTGCTGCTGAATTTGAGGTTGTTGTTGTTGTTGTTGCGGTGGTTGTTGTGATTGTTGTGATTGTTGTTGCTGCTGCTGTTGTTGTGGTAGTGGTTGAGGTTGTTGTTGAGAGTGTGGATGCTGTAATGTTTGTTGTTGTTGTGGTGGTGGTGGAGGTGGAGGCTGTTGTTGAATCTGTGGTTGTTGTTGTGTTTGCTGTAATTGAGGTTGTTGTTGAGAGGGATAACTTGGCTGGACTGACGGTTGAACAGCTAATCCACTACCGGCAGACCGATTATTTGATCCACTATTCGAACAACTTTTACTTTGACGATTATGTAGAACTGAACTTAATCTACTTTTTACTGTTTGATGATCCTGTTGTTGAATTTGAGGTTGTTGTTGTTGTTGTTGTTGTTGGGGTTGTGGTGGTGGTTGTTGCTGAGGTTGTTGTAACTGTGACTGTGGTTGTGGCGGTTGTTGTTGTTGTAGTTGTTGTGAAGGATAAGTTGGTTGATTTGATTGTTGAACACCAACTACACTGACTGCAGATCGATTATTAGGTCCACTATTACCAGAATTTGATTTACTCTGGCGATTTTGGCTTAAAGAGTTTAAACGATTATTGGTCATTTGATGTAAAACACTATTTGATTCTCTACTTTTTTCTTTCTTTGTTTTTAATTGGTCACATTTTCTCATTTTACAAATTTGATGACTTCTAACACTTTTACATGGTCCACAATCACCACAATTATCCTTTTTTAAACATCCTGGACAATCACCGCACCTTTTGCGTTTCTTTTTGGTCACTTTTTCTCCATTGGACATTCCGAGTGGTGATTGAGCAGATGCCGATAACGGTGATTGTGGTGTAAGTTGTAACTGCTGAGATGTTAATTGTGCTTGAGACATCAAAGGTGTAGGTACAGGTGATTGAGCGGGTGCCGATAATGGCGATTGAGGTGTAAGTTGTAACTGTTGTTGAGGAGGTTGTTGGACTTGTTGTTGTTGTTGTTGTTGTTGTTGCTGTTGCTGTTGGGACATCAAAGGTGTAGGTACAGGTGATTGAGCAGATGCCGATAAGGGCGACTGAGGAGTTAACTGTAACTGTTGTTGAGGAGGTTGTTGGGCTTGTTGTTGGGACATGAGAGGTGATGGCCCAGGGACAGGGTGAGGTGTCGTTGGATAAACATTATGTGACCATGGTGTATGTCCAGGGTGATAAATACCATGAGGTGTTACGTGGGGATGACCCGTATTGTGTTGTTGTTGTTGAGATGACAACGGAGGTGAAGGGACAGCATGATGTGGAGGAGGAGGTGGTGGCACTGATGGAGAGATAGTTTGAAGATGAGGTGGCACTGATGGAGGGACAGCATGGTGATGAGGCAGCACTGAATTGGGATGATGTCCAGTCGGCACTGAGTGTTGTTGATGCACTGCCGGTGAGGGATTATGATGAACTTGAGGTTGAATCGGTGGTAATTGTTGTATCAAGGTGGGTGAGGGTTGATGATGTCCACTTGGTGGATGATGAAGATGATAATAAGAATGTGATTGGGGTCCTGGTAATGAACTTAAATTCTGATATTTCGTCTCTCCAGACGATGGTAAAGACATGTCAACATGTATATTTATTGTATAATAAAGATGGAGAGGAAGATGAAAGTTAACAACAAGTAACACTCTCAAGGATCAACTTAAAACTAAATTGTTCTCATGAAAGAAAACAGAAAAAAAGAATCGAACTCAACAATTTCTGAGTAACTTCTGCCATCTATTGGGATCGAAAACAACCTGACAACTTTTTTCGAACAAAAAAAAATGCAGTTTTGATCAATTCGAATTAACTAATTTCTCATCAATCACAATTACTACAATTAACAATTATTCTTCAAGGATAATAATCGGTTTAATTAACTATTCCGAGATAACCATAGTTACAATGTAACTTAATTTCTGGAAGAAAATGAAAACTTTGAATCGTTCAACTAATCGATTGGCAACAATTTAGAAACAATTTGATTAAATTTGATTGTTGTTTAACTCGATTAACTTGACTATCTAATTAATTTCTGAATTGAGTAATTATAATTGTTTCTTTTTTGCTGCTTTCATTGTAATAATGATAAAATTAAGCAATAGTTACATTTGAGCAAACATTTCAATCATTATTGACAATTGATTAATTGATTGGAACCAATTAGTTAATCAATTATTTATCAACAATTGAAAAAAAAGTTTAATCAATTAATTAGTGTTGTTTTTGATTTGATCGGTTTTCAGTAGTTAATCTGATTTTGAATGTTGTCAATTTGAAACGATTAAACAATTAACGATAGAAAAGTTTTTATTTTAATTGCTGCCAATTAATTTGATTACAATTATTATAATTAACAATAGTTTAAACATGATATTGTTAAAGACAATCAAAAAATCACCAAATCTTGATTGTGATCAAAGTTCACTATTGTAACTGAATTGATAGTTAATCAAATAAAAAAAAAACTAAATTAACGATCATGAGGAAAGATAATTAAGTTAATTGTGATTAATTAGATTGACAATGTTGATGATAATCAAAAAATATCATAAGGTAACAATAAATAGTAATTAACAAGACTAGTTAACAATTAGAATCAATTTGAGAAAAAGTGAAATTAACTCTCAAATTGAACAGGATTAACTAATTGTGATTAACTATTTCTGTCAATACTTAACCTTAATGTTAATGTAGTTAATTATTATAGCTCAACATTGATCATAATCTTAACAATTAGTTTTAATTTTGGAGAGATTGAATTTTACCCAAATTAATTTTGATTGTAAGTTGATTAACTTTTAATTGCTGTTCGGGTAAATATTTGATTTAAGGTGAAAAATGTAATCAAATAAAATTCAATCAACTTAATTGACTTTTGCCTTTTCCATTGATTAACTTGATTAATTAATCATCTCGTGGGTGGTTTTAATTGTTCAACTTGGAAATATATAATAATAATTGTGGTGATACTTATGACAATTAACCAGAGATGATGATTAACTTTAATTGAAAGCAAAGGTCACTCTGGTTTTTGCTTTGGTTACAATTAATTGTTAATTCAATTTTCTTAATCAACGGACAAGCAATAATTCACAATTAACTGGGAGACAGGAAATTAAATTTAACTTTAATCAAAATTAATTAATTGTTTGCATCCAACAAAAACCTAAAAATGTTTTCAATGGTTTGTTGATGTTGCCTGATTAGTTAATTGTTGTAATCAGTGAATGATGATAAAATATCCTAACAATTAACTAATCAACTATTTATCAAGGATCTTCAATTCATAATGATTACTGATAACATATATTAATAACAATTAACAATTTTCACTGTTTAATTGTTCAATCTGGATCATTGATTGTACTTGATTAGCTTAATTGTAATTATATTAATAGTACTGCTGATGATCAAGATTACAATTCCAGTTAATTAACTAAACATAAAGATTATTATTAATTAATAAAGTATTGGTGTTGATCAAATTAACTTTTTTAATGTTTTTTTAATATATTTGCACCAATTAGTTAAATTGTTAACCATTTAGATGATTAATTAATTACCACTCCAAAATCAATTTAGCATCTAATCAAATATTATTAATTGTTATCAAACTAATTGATTATTGTTAAAATTATCTTATCATTTATTTGACTTTCTAATTGATTATTTTCTGATTGTTGCAAAGTCCTAAGTCACAATTAACAATTTTAATCAATTTTTCAAGTTCAATTTGATCCATTTCAATGATAATTAATTGCTCATTTTAATTACGGACACTGATTGTAATTTAATTTGACCCAACGTTAATTAAATTTAATTACTTTTTGTAGTAAACAATTTATTTCAGATTTTAGATTTCAAGTCATAAAGATAAGATTCAATTAAGATAATCCTTTTTTATGATTAAGCTAATTTGCTTCTTAATCAAAATTAACTGCAAACAATTAAGAAGACATTAATTTCTAAAGAGTTATTAAATTATTTGCTAATTGTAATAAAAAATAACCATAAAATTAACTGATTGTAAATTAAATCCAAAGATTAGAAATCAAAGTTTTCCTTTTACAATTAAACCCAAATGATTAGTTTAATTATTCAAAGTGTAATCAGTTTGATCAACCAATAAAATTTACTTTTCTAATTTCAAATAATTAATAAATCGAGATGATGATTAACGATAATTTGACGAAATTTAAACAGCTCAAAGTGACCTGAGCCAATCGATCTGATCGAGTTCGTTTCCTCGGCTCCAATCAATAAGATCGAAGTTCAATTATCAATATGTTGATGAAATGTTATGATCGATATTTTTTTCGAAGTCTAATTTATAAATTGTCCGTTCGAATTGTTGACAATCAAAGAAACAATTTTGGATTTTGATGAATGAAAATTATTTACGATGTTTATTGTTAGTTATTAAAATATCAAAAACTTTTGATTTCATTTACGATTATTTTAGTCAATATAAAGTGACAATTAATTGTCGATTTATTTTTTTACAACTTTGATTTTTAGTCAAATTTTTTCCAATTTTTTGTTCCTTTTTTTTGGCGATGATGAGTTTTCATTGATTGGGTGAGTTAATTGTTGAGAATGTGAAATATTATTTCATCTTTACCATTAAACTAGTTGAGAAATTATCATGATTATAATTGTTGATTGTTGATTCGTGTCTTCCATTTGTATTGATCATCTTGTCTCGCTTCGGGAGTTAATTGATTTCTCATTCCAACAATTACATTCGATGTTGCCTCAGTTGCTTTGATTATCGGATGCAAAATGTTTGAAGGTAAAGTGCCGATGAAAACGCCAACGGTTTCGGTCACTCCATAGGATTGAGCACCAACATTTGCGACATTACGATAAGTCTCATTGAGTCCTTCCCTCATCACGGTGTAAGCGGAAGCGACCCCTTCCCGAAGATCTCGAGGTTGAGATGTTGGCACTGATCCTCGAATGTTGTGTTGTGGAGATCGATTGTGAGTCAGTACAACATCGTGAGCGAATTGAGCAGTTCCTTGGATCACATGAACAAGTCTAAGAGAAAAACAGATTACATCAAATTAGATTAATTTGTTCATTTTCTTCAATCAATCAAATCGATTCCATTACCTGTTGGCAAGATCGAGCATCGCAGTTGCTGTTGATGATGAGAACGAAGTTGCACCTCGTTGAATACCACGGAAAATGCGTCTATCACGTCGATATTGATCAACGGGAATCCAAAACAGATCAATTACTCCTTGGACTTGATTATTGATACAAAGAAAAGAAAAAAGCAAAGATTAATTTTCACTCAATTGATTCCATGTGATCGATTCTTACATAATTGTCTAACGCTGTTCAATGGTCCAATTGATCCAATTATTCGTGGAATTTGATTCCTTTTAATGTCCTCAAACCATTCGGTCAAAGCGAATTGAACAACTCGATCAACACCAAGGATTCCACGTTTTTGGTGAAGTTTTTTCAGGTGAAGTTCAGAATGATTCAAATGTCCAAGACCCATGAGAAGACCTTGAATCGTCCCCTGGATTAGGATGAATAAAACAGATTAGATTACATTCAATTTTGCTAATTTCTAATTTCTAACTACTGATAACTAATCACTCACTTGATCAAAGTCGATTCTTTTCCCATGATAATCGAGACGAATTAAAACAGTTGATGTGAATTCGAAAGACTTTACAAATAGAGATGAGGGTTTCGAGTCAAGTGGATCTTCAGAGTTTAGTCCGTTCATTTCATTGTCGTTCGTTTGAACATTAGTGTCAACATTAAAGTCTCTTTCGCTTATTGGAAAAACAGGCGACGGAGTATTGGAGCCAGAAGACGTCGGAGTGATCGGGACAGTTTGAGAATCCAACAGATTTTTAAGAGATGAGAAGTACTCAAATAGGAACATTATTGTATCTTGGTCAATGTTCACTCGAAGTGGTTTCAATGTGACTCTCAGATCACATTCTTCGTGAGAATCTACTGGATTACGGAATGTTTTAGCTCTAATGGAGATCATGCTCGACTCATTTCGACGAGGAATATCTTCCGAAATGTACTCATAGAGCATCTTGTTTATATTGGACACAGACAAACAGTCACGAATCTCGACCTTCTTCACATTCAATGACCATCTCCATGAAACATTACATGAATCGTTGAATTTGTCGAAAAGAAGTCGAACTTTGGTCAATTGCAACTGGACACAAACATCGTCTTTCCTCAATCGACCGCCGTTTGTTTTTCTACAATGAGAAAAACCCACCACAGGTCGAGATGAAGTCGCTTCCATCAAATCCGATCCCTTTTCTAAATTTATACTCTCCCAAACTTGGATTGGATCTTCGTTCTCAGGATCATTGACGAATCTCACTTTGTTCTCACTTCGATTTCGAGCATCATAATCGACATTTACTCTCTTTTTCTTCTTTTCCTTTTCTTTTCCTTCTCTTTCTCGTCCACCGGATTTTCATCTTCCCCTCCGTCGTTTCCTCCTTGGTCATCTTCAAAGTCTCGACCACCAAACACACTGATACACAAGGTCATTTCCTCGAGGAAATATCGAGCGACCAAAGATTTCAAAAGTTCTGAGGGTTCTTTTTGTTTGCCTGGGGTGAAAAATCCTTCCATGATTGTGATTGGTTCATGATTCAAGATTCTAACGATCGGATCATCGGTCGCTTTGATTCCAGCGCCGATATCGTCGTCACCTAATAACCAGAAACCAGAATCTGTCATTTCTCCTTTTTTCAGTCCAGTTGCCGAACTTGTACTTGGTCCAGGATTTTCAATCGTTGCCATGATTCGTTCTTTTTGTTTGTTCCAACCTTTTTCGACTTTTTCTCTGTCGATTTCTTTTTCTTTGTCCTTTTCCTTTTCCTTTTCTTCTTTTGTTCGTCCTTTTCTCTTCTTATTTCCTTCTTTCTTTTTATTTCTCTCTCCTTTTTCTGTCTTTTCTCCTTCTTTCCCTGGACAATTCAGAGACAATCTTTTAGCTTCTTTCGAAATGACTTCTTTCATCAATTCGCAATTCGATCCTTTTCTCATTCCAATGGCTTTCGAGTAACTTGGAGGATCATCTTCACCTTTCGTCTCATTTGTTTGATTAATTAAATTGTTGATCAATTGACAAAGTGCTGCCAATGAATCGGAACAACTTCTCACATTTATCATGTTGTTCATCGCTTTGAACACAATCCTATTCGCCTCACACAATTTAAGGCTCATGTCGATCAATCCAGAGTCGATTATGCAAACGTAATTACTTAGGCACTGAGATGATAAACTATTTTTCTTAAAGTAAAAAGCAGCTTCTTCAATGATGAATCTCAGCAAAGTGTCACTTGTATCTTCAACCACCATCGCCGTCACTGTGATCCCGTCGAAAGTGATTAAAACTGGTCGAGGTGGAGCAGGGACATTGTCACTTCCATAGGCGATCGCTCCGTTCACTATACTTGTGTGAAGTTCAGTCTGAATCTTGGGTGGAGTGTAACCGAGAACCTCCTCATTGGTGACATTCACCAAGTTCCAGAAATCGACGAAAATCTCTGGCCAAGTTTTGAACAAAATCGCTTCCGACAATTTGATGGCAACGGTTATTGACTTGGACACTGGCACATTTTTCTTGTCGATCTCGAATGTCAAGTCCAGTGAACTCGCTTTCTGACAAAGGTGATTGCTGTCAATCACTTTCTCCCATTGTAGGACCAACAAACACCCAGTCCATGGATCGAGATCACATTGCAAGTGTCATCTTCTAGACCAAAGGTCAACCCGATGAAAACATTACAACTGTTTATCAAATGGTCACCAATGGTCACTCTAAGAGTATCACAGCGAAGTAAACAAGTGACTAAATTGTGAAGGTGTTGATTGGACGAAGAGCCACCGATCGAGTGGAATGAAGACTCGGATTCGATTGAGTCGCTCATTCCAGTTCCACAAGGAAAGTATTTGGTGCTTGGTGGACATTCTCGTCCTCCAGATCGGATCGAGATGTCGCTGTTTGGAGTCCAAAGAGCGAGATCATTTCCAGTGCATTATAAAGCAGATCGATTTGCTCTTTACTCAAAGTACATGGTCACATTGTCGGCGGACAATTCCACCTGCAGTTGGGTGAACGATTTACATGTTTCGAAATAACCTCGTGAATTGTTCAGATTATTGGGAACAAAGGTCTTGGCATCTGCTTTTTTCTCACTTCGAACAATCTTTGTCTTCACTTGAAACGGAGTTTCGGGTGTCGCTTGTGCTTTTGTACATATAAAAATAGACTCGGTCATGTTGGCCGCTTCGAGAAGATCTTGGACATTTCGCGACTCGACAAATCTCGAGGTATCGGCACCTTTTTTGATACTAAAACGAATCGCTTCCGACCCTTCGCTACTCATTCGGCCGATCTCTTTACTTCCCGATAATTTATCACCAATGGAAACAACCAACCTACTAAGTGTCACATCGGTACTTGTTTCATTTATCATCACTTCCAAATCATTTCCATCCAGTTCAATCCAAAATGGACGCAACTCTGATTCTCTTGGTCTTTCGTCTCGTAAATCAGCAACAGGAATCAACAATTTACTTCGAATCTCTGGACACACAATTCCAATCGACAATCGATCCGATGATCCTGATCCATCGGAAATCCAAGGCAAATATCTCTCGATCCTTTCCAAAAGCGTTGGATCAACAATCAAATTGGTTAAATGTTTCGTACCAATTTCAATCTTTTCATTTGTTATTATACAAGAGAAACTAAGATCTTGATTGTGATCTTGACCATTTGAAGATTTGATGGGCAGTCCAAATTGTTGATGGACATTTTCTGGTCCACTACTGACCAGTGTCCGGGGTTCTGTCCAAATTAGTGGACACAAACCTCTTTGGTTCCGTTCACCGATCCAAATGTCACCAGAATTTATCTTCCAACCAGAAGAATCAAGATTAATATGAATTGGAACAGTGATTAACCTTAAATGGTAACAAGTAATCATTTCATCGAGGGAACAGTTAATTTCATGCAAACTCATCACTTTCGGATTAATTTCTTTACATTCGCCCGAGTAGTTTGATCCAACCAAACAAACGGCGATTCCTGGTAATTTGATTGCACAATTAAAACTCTTTGTGTCTTTTGTCTCACAATTTCGACGACTATTCGAATAGTCTATTGGCATGAAAGCTGTGGTCTGACACGACTCGAAAGTTTCCCCACCACTTGTCCAGGCACTACAAGATTCGCCTGCGAATCCACCCAACAGGTTGTTCCGAGACGAACCCAAATGGAATCGAGCAGAATCCATTCGTAATTGTTGTTCTATTCGAGCATAGTCCAGGGCGGTCATCGCCTTCTCTCCTTGTCTATGGAAACTTTCATATTCTTGACCAGATTCTTTGGGACTCGCGATGTTGATAAGCTCATTTATTTGATTCTTTTTTAAAATTCCCGTTAAAATGGAAGCCAAATGCACTTGGATGGCGCACGCAGAGTCTTTTACATTCACTTCCATCACATGAGTATCTTTAAGTGTACATATCGTGTCTCCATCCAATAAGATTTCGATATCGGTAATGTCCAGTTTCTTTCGAATCCTTTTCGGAGCCATGTTGACATTTTCTTTCTCTTTCTCATCGTCTTCCTCCTCTTCTTTAACATTCTCTCGACACCTTAAATGAGCCACTCGAATCTCCAAATCACAATAGTCGTCACTTCCTTTGTTCATCTTAATGGTCGATGCATTTCGTGGTTGTTTCCTTTTACTTCGCAGGATAAAACGAGTATCAATGGCAATCAGTTCCACTCGACGGAGAACTGAGTCTATCAACTGAGCGAATATTTCCAGTCCCTCGAATTTATCTTCTTCTTGATTAGTTTGCACAATTTCCTCAGCCAATTGCATCGAACTGCTCATGATAGACCGAGTTAAATAATCGGACTCCATTTGGTTCCTTCCGTCAAGTTCATGGTCAAGTTGACAGATCACTGTTGCTCCTTTGATTTGAAGTGAACACGATTCAGTCAACAGAGATGACCAAGGAACATAAACTGATATCTCTTCAATGAAACAACCGTCGACAAATTTAACAGGTAAAAATGATAATTCTTCATTCAATGAGTCAACATCTAAATCGATCTCATTGATACATCCTTTTCCATCAATCAAATCAATAGATAGTTGATCGAGAGTTAATTTCTCTCTTAAAAAGTGTCCCAAGTATCTATCAAAAAGATACCAGATTGTCCGTTTTTTCATTTTCTCAGGGAAAATGTTTAAAAAAGCCCGAAGAGTGGCTTCCATTTTGATGGTTGATTGTTGGCAATTAATTAATCACCAATCACTTTGTCCTTCGTTTATCACAAATTAACTTAAAACACAAAACACAAAACAGATGATAAAATTAACTTATAGTTTATAGTCTTTTTGTTGCAATCTAAATCAGTCCATTTGAATCACTGGAAATCCATTAGATTGAAAAACTAATTTGGAGAAAATAAAAAAAACAAAAAACAACAAAATTACTAAAAAATGGCTTAGGCTTAATGAATATTTTTCTTCATCTCCACCAAAAGAATCAATTGTTTTCTATTTATTTCTACATTTAACTTACCTAATTACATAGGTCATACTCTGGATATTAATAGAATTTAAAAATCAATGCAAATAACAGATAATTAAAAAAAGAAATTAATTTACACTCATTTGATAAGAAAAACCTTGATAATTGATCAAAAAATGAACAACAAACTGATGATCAGATGTTGTTATTGTTTACATTTTTATCTCAAGTTGTCAAGTGATTACCTTTCAACAGAAACTCATCGTTGATTGTAACTAACCAATTCCATCCTTAGAGTTGATAAATTCACAGTTGATCAAACAATTCGTTTTATTAACAACACAGACAATTAATTAATTTGGCCTTTTAATTGGAAAAACAATTGACCAAAGATTAAAACACAAAGAGATTCAAATGAAAACATAAACAAAGATTTTTTTCTTTGTTTACGTTTTTCGTCGCCACCTGTTGGTCTTTCCTACAACTAATTCGATTCTTTTCTCAACAAGCTACAACTCAAACGGCTCCCCTCAATCACAATCGAGCATCACTAATGGTAACGTGTAGCCATATGATGGCTAGAAATGATAATTGTTTTGTCAAAAGACTTGCTGGTGATCAGGAATGATCAGGTTGACGAGTGAACGTCTTGCTCTTTGCGTTTCGCTAGAGCTTGTTGTTTGGTGGAGAGTTTGAGTGAGTTGTGAACACGTAGCCAGTTTTCTGAGCTATTTAAGCAATTTTGCATTCTGATTGGTGGCGTTGGTGTTCTGATTGAGCATAGTTTTAGCTGATCAGCAGTCCAGTTCTTTCACTATTGATAACAAGATTCTTTCTGAATTCATATGACTGGTTGTAACTTCATTGTTCAGTATTTCATCCAGTTTTTCGTCAAGCTGAGCCCCTGTGCGCTTCCTGATGTACCATCGAGTTATTAGGTTCATCAGCCAGTACGGCACCTTCTTGATATCATTTCTTTCGTGTATCCATTTGAGGTATCGATTAGCTTGTGAATTAAATTCTTCCAATTCATAATTTGTTATTAAGTGATGTAGTGCATGTTTTAATCCAAATTTACTGACCATTGGCTTAATTTGGATCGAATCGATCCGCACTTCACACCAGTTTTTACTTGTCCAGTATATGACTCTTTTCCTGAGTTTAATATTTTTCATATGTGTAAGGTTATTTAACCTTAGAATAACCTTTGGGTTTCACTTTGTAAATATACTTTATTTTTCTTATGTGGTTGGGATGAGATCCCTGAGCCTACTACTTAAAATACATTTTTCTCATTATTATCATCATCATTATCTTCATCCTCATCATCTTCGTCATCCTCTTCTTCATCCCAAATTAGCATCCTCATCCTAATTTTAGATGTTGACAATATTTGGTTGCCAACACTTCCCCGACGTTAGGGTGACCAGTCCACTGGTCAAATCCAAGTTGTTCGATGTCTTCTTTGGACGTGGACCTTGTACCGTCTTACCGTCATGATTTGATTACATTCCTTATCTGGGCATTGAACTAGTAACGTGCGAAATTTATTCATTGAAACAGGGCCGGTATGTCGCAGATGGCTGCGGTCGAAGGGTAAGCCACATCTTGCGGGGCACTCGAAGTTATTTCGACTCTGGTAATCTGCAAGGCAAGAGCTACAAAACATAACTTTACAACTAGTATTTTGCTTATGTACACATGGGTTTTCAGCTAAGTTTTGACAAATGATGCACTCATAATCTCTGATTACATTGGTGTCTAAAAATAGGTAGGAGGTTAGCTTAAAAGGGTTTACAATGGGTTCAGGTATAAGGTAAGATGGGATTTGAGGTTCAGGTTGAATTATCTGGATCTCGTCATCATAATATTGAGAGGAGATTAGAGCTTCAAGTGGATCGCCGATGATCTGGACTGGTACCCACTCTTCGTAATTCATTATGGAAATTCTAGATGTATAAAGAGAATAAGAAAGACAAAAGTCCTAATGATAAAATCAATAAGTATTACTAAAATTAGTATAATGTACTAATAGCCATAGGATTAGGTACATATGGAGGTGGATTATTATTATTGTTATTAGGAACTAATGCTACTGAGACAACTGGTCGTCCAATCATGTGACACAGCATCGAAAATAATTTGAAAATTAACAAAATGACGACACAAAAGGCTATAACACCAATTAGTAAATTGCTTAATTCGTCTTTGAGTTTTTCAAGCCAAGTTTTTTCTTGTTTCACAGCAAGTGTTTGTGAGTCAGTAAGTTTTTCTAAAAGCCTGATTGTTGTTGTGTTGAGGGTTATTAATTTGACAGGATCGGCCATTATTCGCCAATTGATTTGGTTGGACCATCCATCTATCACCTTTGAACTAGTGATAATGTAGTTTTCAGCGCTGTAATTGTAATCGCCAATTGAGAAAGACATATCTTTAGACAATTTCAGGACAGCATTTGGACAATCCCGAACATGATTGAATAGACTGAGGTTATACCCATAACAGTAAACATATAGATTTTCATCTATTATCTTAACTTGCGGCTTAGACAATTTATAGTTATTCAAAGATGTCTCGAAACAATTAGTTAATTGCCAGGTCTGTGGCTTTGGTTGTTTACAGAATGTCCCACTCACGAACATGATTAGTTTCGCTTTGAGTTCTTCTTCCGTTGCCTCACAAATCTCTTTGGACTTTGTATTGGATATTAAATATTTTGGACCGGTATATTCAAAGGTACAAGTTTCGTTTCCGACTTCTTTGAGTAGTTTGAAAGGGTCGGCCTCATGAATTACCAAATTATCTTCAATTTGCGGGACTATGAATCTCAACTTGAGGACGTAGGTATCATTTTCTTTAGAGAGTTCCGTGGTGGTCTCGGTCATAGGCTCCAGAGGACATGAGGAGTTACAAGGAAGTTTTAATCGAAATCGTTCGATGAATTCCTTGGTGAGTTTATTATCCTGTTTAAGTTGAATAATGGTTTCTTTGATTTTCTGAGTGTTATAAACTGTGTCTGCGGAATGGAAAGATGTTAATGGAAGCATCTGTTCCAACTGCATAATGTCAGTTTTCAACTTCTGGGCCTCATCAGCTAAAGTTTCTAAAGCGGTTTGATGTTGTCTTATCGCTGTCGCAGTTAATCTATTGAACTCTTGTAATCGCTCGACATCGGTGTTTGATTGCGCAACAGACGCATCCCCAAAGTAATAAAATACTTGATTTACCCCGGCCACGAGAGCAGATGAAACCAAAATGGCTGTAGTAATGGCTAATGGCTCTCTTCGCGCTCTCCTGGTTTGGGTGGTTCCCGGCCCGAAGTATGGATCTAGATTGTTAGTTACATACTTGTAACAATATTCCAGTGCTAATTCCAAGAAATCTCCCTTTTCAGGTTCTTTTTTTAGTGATTGACATAAGGTTTGTATAGGCTTTAAACATGTTGTATTTTGGTACTCCTTTTCTAGTCTTTTACACCCCCAGTAGGTGGCCGACGGATATGGGTGTACCGCACATGGTTGAAAGCCATTGTTGACTACGTAGAACTTTCTTGATTCATCAGACATTGGTTTACAAGGGTTTTGAATGGATATAGTATAATTAACGTAAGCATTCCCTTTTAGAAATTTCCTATCAACTTTTCCCCAGATGATATCTGGTCCATATTCTTGACAGATGGAAAGACCAAAGGATAGAATAATTATCATTATTATGAGTGAAACGTTACTTGTCTCTCTTCGTCGATTCCTGAGGTGTTTCTCCTCCACTTCTGGCTGTTTTTCACGTCGGTGGTAGAGTTTTATTTGAGATGCATGAACTCTGAACTCGTCCGTTGAATTTTCTCGTTTCACTATGTAAGTGGTGTTACCCATTTTCTTGATGATTTGAAATGGTCCCTCGTATTTTGGGCCAAGTTTTCCTTCTCTGAGGTTTATTTCGCGTAGAACCAATTGACCAACTTCGTAGGTTCTAATCTTATTCTTTTTATCATGATATTCAGCTTGTTTCTCTTGCGAGGTTGCAGAATGGATTTGTGTTTGTTCTTTAATGAATTTCCATTCGTGATTCATAAAATTGATGTATTCTCCAAGAGTTGTCTTTTTTACTTCGGGATTAGTTTGTAAGTCAACGGGAAGCGTTGGTTCTCTCCCATATAAGAGAAAGAATGGTGACTGTTGATTGCTTCGGTTGACGCAGGAATTGTAAGCAAAATTAATTAAAGGCAAAACTTGTGTCCATTTTGTTTGATTCTGCTCTTGGCAATAATGCATGAGCATTGAACAGATCGTACGGTTCACTCGCTCGGTTAATCCATTGGTTTGTGGATGATAAGCTGTAGACAACTGCCATTTTGTGTTCATGAAGTTACCCACTTCTTGAACTGTTTCAGCTATAAAATTTCGTCCTTGGTCACTCAAGATGGACTTTGGACAACCGTGTCGACATAATATATTCTCAATTAGAAACTTTGCGGTACTCTTTGCGTCTTTCTTCGCGAGGGCTTTCATTTCCACCCATTTAGTGAAGTACTCGGTGGCCACAATTATGTACTCCTTACCCGATGAACGAGGAAGAGGACCAAGTATGTCGATCCCAATTTTTTCAAAGGGGGCTGAGACAACGATCGAATTTAGTGGAGCAGTTGAATTTCCTGCTCCAATCTTATTAAATTGACACGATTGGCAATTTTGGATGTAAGTGGTAATTTCCTTGTTCATCCTTGGCCAATAGTATTTTGCTCTGATTTTTTCATAAGTTTGGAATAAACCACAATGTCCTGATAGAGGTTCGTCATGGTAAGCTTTCAGTATTTCTAATACCATTGACTTCGGAAGAACAATGACCCATTGTTGACTATTTTTATGATTGATTTTTCTCTGTAAAAGACCATTTTTAATTCGGTGTTGACTTTTTGTCCGATCAGTAATTTTCGATGGCTTCTCGTCACTTAATTGTTGCATTTTCGCTTGTATAAAAGGATCATTCCTTTGTTCATTTAGTAATCGACTCTGTTTCTGATCTTCTTCAGTGATTAATAAAGTGAACAAATCATCACCTTGTTCACAATCATCATAACCAACGGAGTTGAATTCAGGATCGTTGGTTGGATATCTGCTGAGACAATCGGCGTCAGCATGAATTTTACCGGACTTGTAGGTGATGTTGAACTCGAAAGATTGTAAGGTTAGGGCATACCGCATTAGTCGAGGTGGAAGTTTAGTTTTCGATCGTAAAAAGCAGAGGGCGCAATGGTCGGTGACCACTTCGAATTTAATTCCTTCCAGGTAATGTCGAAACTTCTCCACCGCATATATTATGGCAAGGCATTCTTTATCGGACACTGGGTAATTTAATTCAGCCCCTCGAATCTGTCTGCTAGCAAAAGCAACAGGTTTCCAGTTCTTTTCATGTTTCTGCAAGATGATCGCTCCCAGCCCAACGTCAGA